AAAAAAAAAATGGTTCAATCTATAAAGCAAAAAAAGTGATGAGAAAAAAGAAAATTGAACAAAAGCAAACGTATATAAAATATTACAAAAGAAAACGAACAATATTTGCTACTAAAAAAATCCAAATTTAAACCTATACTTTTTTGCAAATAAATGTTTGCTTAATTAAGGAGCAAAAAATCAAATTTTTAGACTTATGTGATAAAAAATGAGAGGCTTAATTTGAAAAAATTAGCTTTTAAATCTTTTTTTCTTTCTTTGAAGAAAGATCTCTGAGAATTGCTTATCTTGTAATTTTTCATTGAAGTTTTTATAACTGTTAACAAACTTCTTTTTTCACAATAGTTATTATTTCCGCTGTTACTGTCTTTTTGTTTTGCATTTATTTTAATTCGATATTTAGCTGTTATTTGTCAAAAAACTTCTTAAATATAGTGCTGCAATCAAAATGATAAGAAAAAAGTTCTCCAGGTTTTGTTTGACCTTTTTTTTCCACCAAACTGGAAACAACAAACAAGGAAGGAGGAACAATTCTAGTAACAGTTATGGTTTCTGTCATTTATTCATAACTTTCTCCTTTACTCTGATAATGGTGATTTTTTGTAGATAATTCAGTAAATGGACGACAATTTGACTATTTATCAATTGTCAAGGCTAAGCGCTGTTTTTTTCACAACATCACCACCACTTATTATATCTATCGCCTATTTTGACCATTGATAATAGTCAAACTAAGCAGAAGCCAATGAAGAACAAAACATGAGCAAAACCACTGAACTGAATAGCAAAATATCTACCAAAAAGAAATTCCTTTTATAAGTTTCTGATTCTTTGTTCATCTTTTTTTTCTTTCAAAAAATTTATTCTTTTTTTTTTTTCAGCTTCTTCTAATGAAACGGTGGCGAAATTGAGGAAGTTAACATTTGTTTAGTCACGTATTACATAATTTTTGTAAATTGCTAGACAGGTAGCCTAAGATTTCAAAATCAGTAAATATACCTAAGATTTCAGGACAAAACTTATTAATCACGGCTAAGCTGTTTATTATACTCTAAAAAATTATGGATATGTTGATTTAGTAGATAAGTGGATGGTTGATATGAACCAGGTGTGCTGATAGGTAGGCAAATTTTGATATTCTTCTACCAGACGTTATGTGATGCAATTACTGAAGTTGCTGAACATATGAAAGCCGATTTGAGTCTGAAAAATTTTTCTAAACCCCAATATATTGCAAAAATAGAAAAGAATTAATCAGTGAAATGAATGTCAGTATAGACATGTTTGATAGAGTTGTCGCCAATTTGATTGCCTAATCGACATTATTAATTGGTGGCAGCAATATCCACAAAAATATTCATTACTAATGATATATAAATAATTCATTTGGTAGACATATATCTGAGAAGATTAAAAGCATAAAAAATGAGTTTTACTCCGTCATATACTTTTCATTTTTTATAAACTTAGCTTAAACTACATAGTTGTTTTACTAAAAAATCTTATGCTTCTCTCTCCTTCGTTTCTGTTCCTTTCTCCTCCTCCGTCTAATGAATGATTTTTTTGTCTAACTAAATGAACATAGCCGGTGAAAACAGGAAAAAATAACAATCAAATATAAATTGGCATTCATTGGCAATGGGGAGTCAAAAAAAAGTTACTATAATTGACAAAAAAAAAAAAAAACATTTATCAATTTGTAACTTTAAAATTTGAACATTTTTTTCTGATTTTTATTTCTTACTTTTCAGCAATTTGATTTTTACCAAAGAACACCAGACTTCATTTGTTATGTGATAGTTCTGTTTTTGCTTTGCTGTCTCATTCTTCCTCCCAGTTTTCGCCAACATTTTGTCTTTCTGATTTGTTTTCAACAAAATCTTTTTTATTTATTCATAATCAGCGGGTGAAAAAAAAAGCACGAAAGAACAAAAATTTCTCTTTAATAATTGTCGATTTCAATAAATAAAAATTAAAAGAAATGAAGCAAAGTTACGGGAATGAATGGAGGCGAGGAGTGGAACGGGGAAGGACGGGGTGGTAGAGGCGGCGAGAAGGTGATGGAACGGGTGAATCAAAAAAGAAAAAAAGTAGTAAATTTAAACTCGTAAAAAGTATTTAATACATTCGACGACAAAATGATTGCTTATTTCCTACAGTAATATTATAAATTTA